CTTGTTGCGGTTGTGCTTGTAGTTAAGCTCAACAATCTTGGCACGTCGAACATAACTTTCATCTGGTGAGAGAAGGAAAGTTTGTCCAATGAGGTCCCAATTTCCTAGCAGAACGTCTTCTATATCTAATTCATCCTCACTAGAATAAACAACGGTCTTAATGGTCTGATTGTCACTGGATTTGATTTTTGTAGGGGGTGCCAACTCCTCCCCATCAGATAGATCAATTGAGGTGATTATTGTAGGGAGCATGAGTTCCTCCCCATCAGGTAGATCAAGACGTTTGTGTAGCTTGGTAGGTGATCGAGCAGAGCAGATTTCTGAAGGAAACAAAAAGTTGTTCCTTTCTAGAAACAGAAATTTGTAGGTCATGTGGCATCCAGGATGTTCCACGTTGCCTACTGTGCCTAACATGTAACAAATGGACTCTAGGGATGACGCCAAGAGATGATATTTGTGTTCATGGTGGGACTCCACAGGAGATCTAGCTAGATAGACAATAGTCCACAGAAATAATTTCTGGATATCTAGCTTGGGCAACCACTCAAAGTATGTGCGCAGGCGTTCCCAGTTGCGTTCATGCGATTTCATTGCAGAGCTCAAGTTCTTATACATTGGTTCCATTGTCAGGACAGGATCATGAGCATTTGGATCATGAGACGGTGGGCCTGGTTCTGCAGATTTGTCCTTTGAGTTCCACCTTCCATCCTCAGAATGTGTTTTGCAGCGTGGGCTGCGTCGAGGTGCAGAGGGTGACAACTTGTAAGTCAAGTTTATGGGTTTGTCTCGCAGTGGAGTAGACTTAATGACAAAGTTGATAGGCGTTTCAGGAACAAACAGAACGGATGGTTGCCTGCCTGACTTGTAAGCTTCAAAATCTGGTGGTCTAAGTTGTGGCACATGGGCAGGATCTAAATCAAATAGACCAGCCATGTTACATTCCAACCAATCAAGATCAGAAGCTTGTCCAGGATGTAGTTTGTACAGACCATTTGTTGGCATGACACAGTGATGAGTCTCAAAGAAACCAATAGCATCATCTAAGGCAGGAGAATCCTTCAGAGTAGTGACTGTTGTATTCCTCTTAGTGAGGATGTCCACTCTATCAAAAGGACTTCGTTCACCTGCAGACCCATCATCCGGTACAGACTTGGCCCATTCATCAACATCAACTCCATCTATGGATATCTCGTAATTTTTGACCTCTTGAGAAGCTTTACGATACTTGGTTGCTGGGACCAGAGCCAACTTGTCTGAATTGGTCTCTTCACTTGTTACAGAAGTCAGAGTATCTGCATCTTCACTCCTCCCCATGCTTGAGTGCTGGAACTGTGAGAGAAAATCGGTAGTAGTCGACATCTCATGTAAGTTGACAGGATGTTGCGGGGATGGAGGTGGTTGCGCAGGAGGCTGATTGTTGGAACCAGCAGCTTCTAACTTTGCAGTGCAAAGAGATTTCTTGCAAGGAAGTGTTGCCAAAGATGCCAGACAAGCTTGGTAGGCAAGAGGATCGGGCTCAAGGTCAATTGATGCAAGATCAGTAGCAACCGGCTCAACAAGACAAGGATACTGGACATGATCGTTGTCAAGGGTACCATGTCGGCTTTTGGTCTCAGGGTCAACAGTGGGATCAGGCTCAAGGTCGACTGATGAGAGATCAAGGGTACCATGTTCGCGTTTGGTCTTGAGGTCAACAACAGGATCAGGCTCAAGGTCGACTGATGCAAGATCAGTAACAAACGGCTCAACAAGACAATGGTACTGGGAATTTTCCTTGTCAAGGGTACCATATTTGCCTTCAGGCCCGAGGTCAACTGATTCAAGATCAGGGACAAAAGGCTCAGCAAGGCTAGGGTATTGAGGATGTTCCTCTTCAGATGTGAGACGTTTGCCATGAAGACTATCCCATTGCCGATTATTGGACAAAGTTGGATAAAGATTAGCATCTAGATTAATGCCCAGATCAAATTCCTCAGCTGGTGAACGTCGAGATGGCTTGGAGACAAGAGGCTGTGGGATGGTGCGGCTGCGGAACGCGATGAATGCGCTGGAGGCCCTGTATGTATCAAAATCATCAGGATCAATGAGGATACAGTTAGACAGGGTGACTGGATCCTTGAGCACAGTTTCGCGATGGTAGACGTAGCCACGGATCCCATGGAGATATGCCTTAAGAGGTTTCGGCACATCCCGAAGTACATCAGGTTGAGGGTCACCGTTAGCATCATGTGGCTGACTGACAGGATACTGCAGTCCGTCAATATCAGCATCATCCATGCCAACAAGGTCAAGGTAACATTTGCAACCATACAAGTCGAGTGCAAGATGAAGAATACTGCCAGCACTGTAGCCAAAGACAGTTTCCAGGATGTACACAAGACTAGTCTCAAGATGTCCAGGTTGGAGGACTCGAGAGGGGTTGCGGTTTGTTGTTGAGTTGCCAGCAGTCGACATTGTCACTCGTGTGCCTGATGGTTGAGTAGTACTAGTGGCAGGCAGTTGAGTTATGTTGGTGTCAATGTTCCGAGCTTGCAATTCTCTTTGATCGATCCGGACCATGCAGGAGTTGACTCAGAGGAATGAAACTCAGTCGACTCAGTTGATCAGAAGATCAGTTGACTGGTTGGAGTCAGATGATGGTCGAAGGAAAATTGAAACAACACGCCTGAAGGTTTGCTTCCTGATGTGCTGGTGTAGGACTGCAGGATTGGGTACACAACTGCCCTTTCCAGATCGTTTTACTTCTTGATTCGCACCAAGAAGGTGATCTCTCGCTTTTGAGACTTCCACCACAGAAGCTATTCAATCAAAAGGAGAAATCGGATCCCTTGCTCCGTTGAAAACTCCTGACGACAAGAAGGAGGTGAACAGGGGCAGCACGAGCTGGCAAGACTCAGCGCTCTCTTGAATTGAAATACTCCAAATCGAATGGCAAGGGCGATAGGGCCGCTCAATGCCAACACTCCACAATAAGCCGAAAAACTCCGAGTCGTCGTGGGACCAAAACTTGAAAAATAACTCGTTGCCAATTTGACGAGTTCTTCACTCAAACTGAAAAGTATGGGTATGTAAACCCCAAAGAATTATTCAATTCGAGCGGTGGTAGAGGATGGGCTTGATGGGAGCCCAAAGAACTTGCGAAACGCTGAAAATCGATCCGCGAGTTGTTGTGTGGTTCGTCCTTTTTGATGGGAAGACGAATTCCAAAATGTTGATTGTCCTCGTCTTTGATGGGAGACGAGATCAGCGAAATTCTGAAGGACAATCGCTGCAGTCAGCTGTGTGTGTGACTGCGAGAATATGAGCTTGATGGGAGCTCAGTAACTTGCGAAAACGCTGTGAAATCCGATCCGCAAGTTGTTGTGTTTTCGTCTTCTGATGGGAGACGAATTGGGCGATTTCTGATGGGGAAATCTCGACAGTTAGCTGTAGGCGTAACTGCGACTGTTAATCTGACAGAAATAAATGAATATAGACTATAAGCCTATAGTTGACTAGTTCCTACAAGTTGATCGTTATCAATTCAAGTAAAAAGCATGCAGT